CTCAGGTTTCTTTCTGTACTTTTGGTGCTGGGGATGGAACCCAGGGCCTCCTGCACGCTTGGCGTCTGCTGCGCCGCCAGGCTAGACGCCCGCTGAGCTTTTCCGTCTTTTGCAGCCTTCTCTCTTGCGGAAGGAGACGACAGATGGTTATTATTTTGTTTTCTGCCGTTCTGCATTTTTAAAAAGTTTTCTCATCTATGTATTTTTTTTTTTTTTTTAAATAAGAAAAGATATTACTAAAACACCCTCACCCTAACTGGCTTTTGTCTTTTTGTCTTTTTGAGACAGGGTCTCGCTGTGCCGTTCAGGCAGGCCTTGAGCTCACTTTGTGGCCCAGGCTGGTCTCGAACTTGCAACGATCCTCCTGCCTCGGCCTCCTGAGTGCTGGGATTACAGGAGTGCGCCACCACGCCCAGCCCTAACTGGCTTTTGTTAAATGAGATCACGACAGCTGGATTTGGTCCAGCAGGGACCAGCTTCGGGATGGGGGAGGACCCTGCAGCCTGTCCACCCTGCTGATGCCAAGACTCGAGCCTGACCACTGGGCTGTGCCAGGCCCTGCAGTGGTGATGACATTGGTAATGGCTTTGGATCCCTGTGCCCCCTCTGCCCTGGGCTATGGTGTCTCTCTCTCTCTCTGTCTCTCTCTCTCTGTCTCTCTCTCTCTGTTTCTCTCTTTATTAGTACTGGGGGTTGAATCCAGGGCATTCCCACTGAGCTACATCCTTAGCCCTTTCATCTTCCTTTGAAACAGGGTCTCATTAAGCTGCCCAGGCTGGCCTTGAACTCTCGAGTGTCCTACTTTAGCCTGTCCAGCAGCTGGTGTGCCAGGTGTGCCCCACAGTGCCCGGAGGGCTGTAATGTTTGAAGAGCTGAATCAGTCAACTTTCTGTTCCCACAGCCTGGCACTGAACCGGTAAGAAATGTGTTTGACAAGCCGGGCGTGGTGGCGCACGCCTGTAATCCCAGCACTCGGGAGGCTGGGGCAGGAGCATGGCAAGTTTGAACCCAGTCTGGACAGCTTAATGACCTGTCTCAAAATTAGTAAGGTTCTCTCTCAGAAGTAAAAATACAAAAAAGATCTTAGGATCTAGCTTCCCAGTACTGGAAAAAAAGTGTTATTTAGGTTTTTTTCGAGACAGGGTTTCCCTATGTAGTCCAAGTTGGACTCAAACTCAACAGGGAGGCCAGGCAGGCCTTGAACTCATGGAGATGCTCCTGCCTCAGCCTCCCCAGTGCTGGGATTACAGGCCTTTACTACCATGCCCAGCTTTCAGTAGGCCCCAGCGGGGAGCCTGCCACCCACAATGCCAATGTCCTCTACACTGTGAGTCCTGATGTTTCTGGCCAGCCTGGGCTACATGGTGAGGCCTTGTCTAAACGGAAAGAAAAGGCAGCTGACCCTGCTCTGTCCCTTGACAGTGTCTCCTATCTGTGCCAGTCCTTCACCCACTTGCGCTGGGCAGGTGGGGCGGGGTGGGGGAGCGGGTGGCACGGGCTTTGTGTGTGTGAATGTGGCCGGGAGGGCCCTATCTGAATGGCCACGCCATGTGGCTGTGTTAGAGCCCCGAGAGCTGGGCCGGCTCCCAGGCGTCCCTCCCTCCCTCCCTGTGCTCGTCCTAGATCGAGACCTAGAGCCCTGCCACTCGGAAAGCCTGGCCCGGGACCAGGGCGGCCGTGACACTGCCAGCCCCCACCCTCCCTCGCCGGGGCTGGGGCCTTGCCTGGGGCCTGGAGGACAGGCAGGAGCCCGGCCAGTGCAGGGAGACGCCAGGGCCGCTGGGGACAGAGCGGGTGGCCTGGGGCAAGGCCGTGCCTGAGCCCAGGGGAGGGAGCCAGGCCCCAGCCAAGGAGCCGGAGAACTCTGTCCGTGCCAGGCGTGTTTCCGGCACTTCTTGACCCGACAGCGCTCTTTCTTGGGCATGTTTTCCTTATCCTTGCTTTTTTTCCTTTTTAAAATTTTATTTCTTTGTTTTTGAGAGAGGCTCGTGCCAGGCATGGTGGTGCACGCCTGTCATCCCAGCACTTGGGAGGCTGAGGCAAGAGTATCGCTGCAAGGTCGAGACCAGCCTGGGCTACAAAGTGAGTTCAAGGCCAGCCTGACTGCATAGCAAGACCCTGTCTCAAAAAGAAAAAAAAAAAAAAAAAGAAAGAAAAAGAAAAAAGAAAGACATGATGATCCTCCTGCCTCAGCCTCCAGAGTGCTGGGATGACAGGCCTCCGCCACCACGCCAGGCTGCCAGGCTTCTTTTTTTCCTTTCCTTCAGTGCTGTGGATTGAACCCTAACCCTTTGCATTGAGCCTCATCCCCAGTCCCCTTTTATTTTCTTATTTTTATTTTGAGACGGGGTCTCCAAGACACCCTTCACAGCCCTCAGTCTTCTCACCTGTAACTGGGCGGTATTTCCCCAAACGGGCTATTGCCAGCGATAGATGGAGTCGCCTGGATCTGGCACTGGAACTGGGACACCACAGGTGCTTAGCAGGCGGTGGGTTCCTCTTCCTGCTCCTCACTCCGGCCGGCACAGTTCCGTGAAGGGTCCCAGGGCCTGTGTGAGGGAGGAGAGGGCAGCAGGGGAAGACACGGGCAGAGCTCAGTCAAAGGGGTGCCCGAGCTGGGCATGGTGGCGCACGCCTGTAGTTAGTCCCAGCACCTAGGAGGCTGAGGCAGGAAGATCACTATGAGTTCCAGGCCTGCCTGGGGTACATACTGAGTTCAAGGGCACCTGAACTGTGTAGGGAGACCCTCTTTCAAAAGACAAAAACAACAAAAAAAATCAAAACCAAAAGGGTGCTGGCGCGCCCTCTGCTGGCCAGTGGTGCTTAGAGTCAAGCCTGAAGGCCGCTGGGCCAGCTGAGACCTGGAACTGAGCCCCCTTGAGCCTCCAGGGCCTGGGTGGCAGCAACCTGCAAGGACCAGGCTTCATTCCTGACAGCTGCTCCCCGGGCTCTGCGTGTCTGCTCCTCCTGAGTCTCTCAGGCATCACGGAGGCTGCTGCTGGAGCTCTGGCGGGCAGCTGTGTGGTGCCCTGGGACACCGGGACCTCACTGTCCCCCAAGCAGCCCGCCGCACGCGGCCGGAGACTGCCTGCTGCAGGTGCCTGACTGCGGTGAGCACCAGGAAGACGCCATGGCCCACAGGTTCTCCCGCTGGGCCACCGAATAAGACTGCAGCTGCCACCTGGAAACCCATGGAGACGGTGCCAGGGTCAGGCCAGCCGCCCTCCTCCTGAGCGCTGTGTAGACCGCTGCCGGGGTCACTGCTGGCGGCCCGGGCTCCGGCCTGAGCCTCCTAGCTGGGTATGTCTTGAGCCCGCCTGTCCCGTCTCCCCTTGTCATCTTCAGGTCCCCCGGGGCCTTTGCACCTCCATAGCTTCCCCTGTCCCTTCCCAACCAGTCCTCTGCTCCATGAGCAAACTGCATTTCCTTTTTTTTTTTTAATTTTTTTTTTTCCTGTACCGGGAATCGAACTCACGACCTCGTGCTTGCCAGGCAGGCGCTGTGCCGCTGAGCTAAATCCCCAGCCCCCAAACTGCATTTCTAGAAGCCTGGCTCCCACTGCTCTCTAAGCCTCTACCCCCACTCCGGCCCTGGAGTTCCTCCCCCTGGTGCCGCCTGCCCGTGGCATTTGCTCCTTTGCCAGGGAGAGGATGGAAGCCCCTTTCAGCAGTGTGGGAGGCCAGGCCCAAGCTCACTACCCCTCCTCCCCGGCGAGGCGAAATCCCTTCCTCCCAGCTCAGGGCTGCAGGTGGTTGGTCCGGACCATGCAGCTGTGGGATTGCCTTTGTCCTGGCCAGAGCGGCTGCACGCAGGGTGTGAGGCCAAAGCCCTTCCCGTGCAGTTTAGGAACTGGGCCCGAGGTGCTGAGGTCGATCCCTTTCTCACTTGGCGAGGAGCGAGGGTTAGAACTCACGTGCTGCGGGAGGCTGCAGGGCAGGACCCCTGGGCCCCGTGGCCCCCTTAGGGCCTGTGGGTGCAGGAGTGACCCCAGCCCATCAGCCGGGGGTCCTCTCCCCGGGCCTGGCGCCTGAGCAGGGTACTCAGAGGGCCAGGGTGCCCGGGGCTCAGCGACCCTGCCGTTTCTCCCGCTGCACAGGTGCAAGAACAAGCAACAAACACGCTCACTCCTTCACATCGTGGCACCGCATTTTGTTATTTTTTTTCTGGTTTATTTTTGAGACAGGGTCTGGACACATAGCCCAGGCTGACCTTGAACTTGTGGCAATCCTCCTGCCTCAGCCTCTGGAGTGCTGGGATTATAGGTGTGCGCCATCATGCCTGGCTAGGTCCACTACATTTTGTGCTGTGTCTGCTTGCGCACGCACACACACACACACACACACACACACACACACATTTTCCCCTGATTTTTTTTTTTTTTTTGAGACAGGATCTTGCTATGTAGCCCAGGCTGGCCTTGAACTCACAGTGATCCTCCTGCTTCAGCCTCCTGAGTGTTGAGATTACAAGTGTGCGTGCGTCATCACGCCAGTTGGAAGTTCCAAGTTTGAACAGCATTTTTCTGGGAGGGCCTGCCTGGCTAGCTCCGCACTGCTCCTCTAGTCCCCAGTGCCGGGGGGAACAGGACTAAGAGTAAAAATGTCCCGTGGGTGATGAGGCATGTTAGTGACACCCTGGTCCTGCAGCGTGGGCTTTGGTTTGCCGGAAAAAGAGGCACTCTCTGAGCTCTGCGAGGACAGGTCGGGCTCAGCACGCCCGGGCTGTACAAGGCCCTTGTCTGCGGCTCCTCCTGCCCCTGCGCACCTTCTGGGGTCCCCCTAACGTTTTACAGGTGCGCGGGCCCCCTCCAGCGCTAGAGCAGGTGAGGGGAGGTGCACCAGTGCGAGGCCGCCGTGTGCAGTGAGCGCGTCTTGACACCAGGTGGCGCTGCCGGTCCGCGATGGGGAGCAGTGGGCTCTTGAGAGGCGGGCGATTTGGGGGGCTTCGTGGATTTGGGGTGCTCCAGGGCCTTCCATCCTGAGGAACCGCGCAGGGCCCTTCAGGCCAGCGCAGGTGCAGGCAGAGAACCGTCCGCCCAATCCCGCCCTGGAGGAGGCAGACTGTCGGTGACGGAAAGCCTGGGATTCCAGACGCCGCGGCTGGGCCAGGAGCTTGCGGAGGGTTTGGGGTGAGGCCAGGGGACTGGGGCAGACAGGAGGACCGACGCCTGGGCCCAACTGGAGGGCAGGGAGCTGGCCAGGATACTGGGACTGGGGGTGCAGGGGGCCAGACATCTGTCACAGTGGGGCCTCCAGGTGAGGGTGCTGCCCTTAGGTCAAGGGAGTTCGGGGCCAGGGCCAGCCCCTGTCCGAGAGCAGCCCCCACAGGTCCGCCTGGCCCGGGCCTGGTGCTGGCTCCCAGGGGCACACAGGCTCTTTGTTTTGAGACAGGATCGTGCTAAGTTGCCCAGGCTGGCCTCGGGCTTGCAATTCTCCTGCCTCAGCCTTCTGAATAGCTAGCAGTACAGGCCTGCACACCCCTGGGCCTGGTACCTCATGGCATCTTTCGTGCTCCTTGGCCTGCACTCTTGGGCCTCCGGTCCCCAGTCCGCTTATCACCCAGCGTTGGGGACAGAGACGGAGCTCTGCTGAGCAGCGCGAGGCTCCCCGGGCGTCGGTTGCTGGTCTGTGGCAGGAGGGGCGGCGCCGTCTCAGCGGCAGGTGCTGAGGGAGGCTCAGGTGTGGGGTGCAGGGACGAGCCGGGCCAGACCTGCGTCCGGCTGCATATGGAGTCTGTCCTCCGCCCGCTGTGCAGCAGGGACGCGCGTCCCGTGCCCAGACTGGGATCGGTGGTGACGCTGGGCCCCGTCCCCGGGCTGTCTGCTCCCGTAGGCACCGAGCGCCCAGCCTGGCCTGCCCCGCCCGCCCCACTCCCTCGTCTGGGGGCCCTGCACCCCACTCCAGCTGGCTGGAAGTCTATTAATATTTCAGTTTGATGAATTAAAGATTCTTTCCTACCCTCCTCCTCCTGACGTCCCAGGAGGGAATTAAAAGCGCATCTGATCCAATCACATGCCATTAGCATGCAGCCCACGAGGGCAGGCGCTGGCGGGTGTGGGCTTTTCTTCCTCAGCGCGCTTTGTCCTCTTTGGGGGGTCTGCGGGGCGGGGCTCGCGGCTGGAGGCGGGGCCAGAGGAGGCGGGGCCAGAGGAGGCGGGGCCAGAGGAGGAGGCGGGGCCAGTGCAGGAGAGGAGGAGGGGGAGGGGATAGGAGGCGGCTCCGCGGCTGTTTTGGACTGGCTGCTACCTGCAGGCAGGGATCTGGGTGGTGCCCAGGACTCAGACCGTACCTGTACCTGCGGGCTGGCCATACCGCTGTGACCCCAGGCCCAGGGTGCACCCAGACCCCTCCCCGCCGTGACTGGACTTTCCTGGGTCAGCGCAGCCTCCCTGGCCCCGCGGGGCGGTGGGGTGGGGAGCTTTGGGTTCAGCCAGAGCCCACAGATGGATGGATGGATGGATGTGAAATCCCTGTCCCTGCCTGTCCCTGCCCTGTCCCCCTGCCTTGCCCAGGTGGGGCCTCGGCTGCCCCTCCTGGAGTCCTCCTGTCCCGGCCAGCCAGGTGGCGCTACCCGTCATCACCTGACCGCTCCTCCTGGCGCCCAGAGCGCTGCCCTTCGCCCAAGGAGCAGGCTGGCCACCTGGCTGAGGCTGAGGGCGGGAGGCCTTTGAAATGTTAATAGTATTTTGACGTCCGGGCTTGTGACATCCACCCTAATGACGCTTGGCTCCGCGCTGACAGCCCCTGGACGTGTGGGGAGAGAGCGAGATGATAAGTCGCTTTAAATTGCAGCGTGGCAAAGTGGCTGGAAAATCCTGTCTTAAGCAAAAGAAAGACAGGGAAGGAGGGGGAGAAAGTGGATATGAAGGAGGAAAAAGAGGAGGCGTTCCCCCTGGGTGGTCACCCTCCGTCTAACAGGCGACCGTTCGGTGAGCACCTACTGCACGCACGCCGCGTGTGTCACCGCCCCGTGGAGGGTCCGGCCGCCCTGGGCAGGGACACAGGGCATGGATGGGAAGGTGCCCTGAGCCCCGGGCAGCCTAGGCCGCTTGGGACGACAGGGCCTCTGGGGCCATCACGTATGTGACAAGTGTGGGGCAGGAGACCCCACCGAACATGCTCACTAGCCACCACCCCTGCGGGACGAGCAGATTGTCGGGGCCCCTGGGGGTCCCTCTTGCAGAGGGGAACACTTTCCAGTCTCCCTGGGGTGAGGCCAGGCAGTGGGGACACCCAGGCGCACCGTGGGAATGGTTGTCCCAGGGTCCCCAGCTGGGGCGCTGAGCCCCTGACTCCAGCCCTGGCACCTCCTCTGGTGTCTGCAGGGTGACTTGTGGCTCCCTGGGGTCTGGGGCCTCTGCGTGCTCTCCCCAAAGCCGGCTCTTCATCCTGGAAATGGCCTGTGGGGACAGTTATGTCCCCCGTCAGATGTTCCCTGCCAGTGGCCTGGCTGAGGGGAATCAAAGTGGAAAACCATCGGGCTGGTGGTCACGGCCGTGGCCGGGGGAGCTCAACTTGGGGACCGTTCATCAGGGCCTCCAGGGCGGCTGGTCTCTCCCAGGGCCCTTGCACTTCGAAGCTCACTTTGATTTATTTCAACAAATCATCAATTCAGGATTCTCAGAGACAAGTGCCCTTTCTGCATTTGGCTTCTTTGAAAATGGAGAAGTGGAAGATGCAGGTTTGTGCGTGTGAACTGCCGCTGCAGCGGGTGAGGCGCTGCAGGCACCTGTGTCCCTCCCTGCAGAGGGGGAATAGGAGCTTTAGGAAGGCACTGGCCATGGAAAGAGGGAGCTGGGTCAGATCTCAGGAAGAACTTCCAGGTCACAGAGGTACAAAACACAATCTGAGGGGCTGGGGATTTAGCTCAGCGGCACAGCACCTGCCTGGCAAGTGCAAGGTCGTGAGTGCGAGTGCCGGTACTGGAAAAAACAAAACAAAACAAAACAAAAAACCCCAAAACAATCTTCCTCTGCCTCTTCTTCAGCCTTTTCTGCTCCAGTTTGGAGACAGTGTCCTTCTTTCCCCGGGGGGAAGCCCATCATGTACCTGGGGGCTAGAACTCCCACCCTGAGCAGAGCTTGGTAGTGCAGGCCTATAACCTCCGCACTCTGGGGGGCTGAAGCAGGAGGATCTTGAGTTTGAGCATGGCCTGGGTAATTTAGTGACTTAGTGAGACCCTGTCTCAAAAGAGAAAACAATAAAAATAAAAAGGGCTGGGGATATAGCTCAATGTGAAAGCCCTGGATTCAATCCCCAGTATAAAAAAAAAAAATTCCCACCCTGTTTACCCCACCGGTACCAGGTCAGCCTCTTGTAAAGGTTTCAGAACGGAATTCCCCTCAAACCCCAAGGTCCTCCAACTTCCGCCTGGCCCTGATCTCACAGATGGGGAGACCAAAGCTCAGAGGGGCAGGGGACCCAGGTCTCCTGGCTCCCAGCCCTGTGCGGGAGAATTGCAGGAGGGATGACAGGCGTCCCAGTGCGGCCCCAGGGAGTGGTCTCAGGTGACCCAGGAGGGTGGCCCAGAGGGGCCAGTCCTCAGGCTGGGGACCCGCACCCTGGCCGAGCCCACAGACGCAGCCATCGGCCAGTTGACAGTATTTTTTTTTTTAAACCTCTGAAAAATACAGCCCACCCAGCCTCGGCACACAGCTGCTGGGGGTGGGGGCAGGAGAATTCCAGCCAGAGCCACAGACCCAGGGCCGGGCCGCACGGTGGGTGGCTGTGTTAGCTTTGCTCTTGGTCAGTCATGGTCTGTTAGCTTTGCTCTTGGTCAGTCATGGTCTGTGTTGCAGCCCTGAATCCGTCCACCCACCCTAGGACGCTAAAGGTTGTGATCTGTGCTCAGAGCCGCCGCGGTCCCCACTCACAGGCACTAACTGGGACTGTGCTGCATATTTTACGTCCTTCTCACGGCCGGCTCACAGGTCGGCCCCGGCACCAGCCTGTGCGGTGCCAGCCTCTGAACGAGCCGGAGCCAGGACCTCCATCTTCTGGCCTGACTCAGTTTCAGGACGGGACGCGTCCCTTGTCCAAGCCGCAGCTGGCTGGCTGTGCGCGCCCTGCGTGGACAGCTCCGCAGACAGGAAGTCGAGGACCTCGGGGACAGGCAACCTAGGCACCCTGGCGCCCCAGGGACGTGGCCTCTCCAAGAACAACGGGAGTCCCCCCAAACCTCAGCACGGCTTTCCCTCCTGTCTCTAGAGAGCTCTTCCTGCAGGGGCCCAAATGGCCAAGGGGTGTGCGCAGCCCTCCGGGGCAGGATCACACTCAGTCTGGTGTCTTTTCCCAGGGCTGTGGTGTGGACGGTCTCAGTTAGGGTTGGTTGTTCACGCAGACACACACAAAGGGCCCCAGTGAATCAATGAACTGATTGGGTAAATGAGACATGTATTCGGGCCATTACATGCGACAGCAAAGAGTACAGGCTTTGCCAACAGTTATTCATTCACCAAACGCTCCTGTAGCTCACTACGGTCCAGGCACGGTGCCAGGCACTGGATGAAAGATGGTGAAGGAGATGTGGCTCTGGCCTGCAGAGTGAGGCCCGCTATTCCCGGCTCCAACAGCCCTCTGCTCTAGGGACCATTCTTTATGGGAATCAGGTTGCCCAGGGAGGAGACAGAGTGGCCCTGGCTTAGCTACAAACATAAGGTGGCACAGGAGGTCCAGGGCCCCCTGGGAGCGAGGCCCGACCAGCCTCTCCTGCTTTGCCGCTGCCACCCTCCTCCCCAGCGCCCTGGCGTTCTGCTGTGCATCCTGCCCGGGACAAGGACAGTCACACGTCAGGGCTCTAATTGAAACCACTTCTGCAGTCTGCGCTGCGATGCTCTTGCCATCCTAACAGGACTGCGTGCCTGCTCCGGGCCTGCTCGCGGTCTCCTCTCACGGGGAGTCTCTGCTGGGATTTTCCCAGGCCCCCTGGAAGGAGCGCTGCCGGGCGCAGCTTCTGGGCCCGGGCTGTCTCCAGGGTCCCTGCGGCGCAGCCAGGCCACCTGTTACACTTTGCAAACCAGTGCTGCAGTCAGCTTGCTGGGGACCCGCCCGCCCGAGGGGGATGGAGCGCGGTGGGGTGCTGTGTGGAACCATCCCTTCCCCCACACGCTAGGAGACCCGCGCAAGTAGAATCACCTCAGCGGCTCTCAGCCCCCCGCTTTTTCATAGGCTTGAGCCAGGAGCAGCGGGGTGCACTCAGGAACACGCCACATGGGGGCACACCCCGCGTGCGCCCAGGTAGAAGTGGCCCTGCGGTGGGGCTCTGGTGTTACCCGGGGTGGGAGCAGCGCGCTCTGTGCGTCCTCGGGCTCTGTTGTACTTTGTGTGTGTGTGTGTGTGTGTGTGTGTGTGTGTGTGTGTGTGTGTCTATGTTCCCTGAACCTCGACCTGGGGGCGTTGAGGAGGGGTCTCCGCCATATCTTCGGGTCGGTGTGCTGGCACGCGCGCGGGGAGCTGGGGGGACAGGGGCTCCCGGGAGAG